GGGGGGGGGGGGCTGCAGGGTGTGAATTTGGGGGTGCCGTGTGCTGCCAGAAGCCTCGCTGCCCGCCGAGTTGTCTGCAGGTTATCAGCACCCCCCACTTAACTGCAGGTGGGTTTGTTCAGGGAGTCCTCAGCTAAAACACTGCTCGATTGGAGGGTTAACGACGCCATCCTTTAGCGGGACCCAATCTTTGGGGGTTCCTGTCCCCCGAGGTTTGGCCTGGCCCAGCAGCCACCTTGTTCTGCTGCTTTATTGCCAGGGACAGCCCAGCTGACCCCCCCAAACCACTGGAGTCACTCCTTGGGCCCCAGATGGTGGAGAAGCGGAGCCAATGGCTGAACATGCTGGGGAGCTGATTTTGGGCACCCGCGGGGGCTGAGCAGTGCCAAGGGGACATGGCCCCGCAGTCAGCAGAGACACACCAGGAGGTCTGGGGGGGGGGGCTCCCAGGGGGCCCCTTCTCTGCCCTCTGGGTGTTTTGGGGCTCGGGTGGGAGCAAAGGAGACGCTGGGCAAGCTGCGGCGTGTGGGGAGGGAAGCTGGAGCCCCCCTGCCTGGTGGTGGCCGCTCGGTTTGGGGGATTTTCACACATGCAGGAGGGGGCTGAGGGAAGCGGCTGACGGCCCCGATCCCCCTCAGCTCCCGCATCACAGCTGCAGCGCTGACAAAAACCCCTTCAACCGCGTTAACTCCCAACCCTGGCGGGGGGGAAGCGCAAGGCCTGGGAACGGATCCTGCTCCGCATCACCAACCCACCCACGATGGCCTGAGCCGGGGCCAAGCTCCCCTGGGGTGCTTGAGGTTATAAAGATTAAATTTATTGAAGCGGGGCTGCCCCCTGCATGTCCCTGCTCATTTTGCCACGGTTTGCACCCGCAGCCACACTCACACGCGTGTGCCAAGTTGTAAGAGGGCGATGAGGTCTCCCCTCAGCCTCCTCTTCTCCAGACTGAACCCCCCCAGTTCCCTCAGCCGCTCCCCAGCAGACCTGTGCTCCAGACCCTGCACCAGCTCCGTTGCCCTTCTCTGGACACGCTCGAGGCATTCAATGGCCTTTTTGGGGTGAGGGGCCCAACACTGAACCCACTCATCGAGGGGCGGCCTCACCAGTGCCGAGCACAGGGCTCAGATCCCTTCCCTGTCCCTGCACAAATGTGCAGACTCGCATCTGCATACGCACACGTCAAGACAGGAGCACACAGTACAGACACATGCATGCCAACACATGTGCAGGTACACACAGCAACACACATGGCCACACACATGCACACATACATGCACTGACATACATACATGTGCCAACACAGATGCATGCATGCACATACACATTCATGCTCGTGTATACACACATGTGTAAATATGCATATGCACCCACATACGCACCCACTTGCACACCCCGGTGCAAAGACATACATGCACGCATCAACATGCAAGCACACTGGCACACATGACCGCCCACACACATACAGGCACATGCACACGCCAACATACACACATATGTGTGCCAGCATGCCTGCATCCATATGCATGTGTATGCACATGCCAGTGCACAGACACACCTATGCACACATGCCTGCACATGCATACACGTGTGGACAGGCATGCACATGCAATCATGCACACAGACATGCATGCACACATAGACATGTGCACAAACACATATGCACATACGTGCACAAACATATGAGTGCAAGACACACATGCATATGCTTGCACATACATGTATGTGCATGGACATGCATGCACACACACATAGATGCACACACATGCACATGCATACAAGCACACAATATTCACACACACACATAAATGTTCATGGACACACATGCACACACCAGCACAGCCATGCACACACAGACATGTGCACAGAAACACATGCACAGACCAGGACACGTTTGCACACACAAGCCCACACATGCATGCACAGGCATGCACATACACGTGCATGGACACGCATGCACACACAGACATGTGCAGATGTGTAAGCACATGCATGCACACACATATGAATGCATAATACACATGCACATGCATGCACACACATACGTGGGGATGGACATGCATGCACAGACATATGTGGGCATGGACATGCATGCACACACACACGTGCATGGACACACGTGCACACACATACACATGCATGGACACGCATGCACACACATACATGTGCACAGACACGCTGGCACACACAGACACGTGCACAGACACATATGCACATGTATGCACACATGTGCTTGCACACACATGCACATGCATACAAGCACACAACATGCATGCACACGCATATATGTGCATGGACACGCATGTACACACAGACATGTGCCCAGACACACATGTACACGCATGCACACAAATACACGCGCACAGACACACACAGAGACATGAACACACACACTCACACACGAACCCGTTCCTCTGCAGCCCTGCCTGCAGCCCTGCCCGTAGCCTGTCCGCAGCCTTGCCTGCGACCCCACCTGCAGCCCTGCCCGCAGCCCTGCCCGCAGCCCTGCCCGCAGCCTTCCCCGCGGCCCTGCCCGCCCCTCCGGCGCAGCGTCCCGTCCCCGCGCCCTTTCCGGGAAGCGCGGCGGGCGGTGGCGAGCATGGCGCGGGCCGTGCTGGCCCTGGGCGAGAGCCTGCAGGCCGAGGTCACTTGCTCCGTGTGCCTGGAGCTCTTCTCCGAGCCCGTCATCACGGAGTGCGGCCACAACTTCTGCGGGCGCTGCCTGGCGGCCGTGC